CACTTTCAAAAGAGCTTTTCTGAGACATTTTGACAAATTCATCATTTGAATAGGCTTGAGTACCTCAATATTTCCCAGTGAACACATACAGTATGAATGCAGCATTTACATTGAGTGAACCACATTAAAAAAAAAAATCCTGGAGCACCTTTCACAAAAATCAGCAAAAGTGCCTCAAGATATACTAAATTTGTCCAATTGTGGGTCTTCTTGACAGAGAAAATACTGCAGAGCAAGAAATGGAGAATTTTACTTGCCCATGAATTTGGATGTACATTAATTTTTCTGTGATATTCCACTCAGTTTAATAATTGAAAAAAATACCATTAGGGTGAGTGAAGCTTCTTTTCAATGGGGATCATAATTTCAAATGAGTGTGCATTGCACTGCTTCTATAAAACTTTTAAAAATGGATACACTCTACATGCATTTGGATCAGTTATTCATCCTGAATTACACATTAGTAAAACATATAGACTTCAATCAAAAATCCCCAGAATAGTGCTTTCCATGCAGGGAAAAAAACACAATTCCCCAATGAACAATTTCAAGCAGAGAAAATCTTACATTAAAAATCATTAACAAGTATGAAGTGGTCAGGATTCCAAGAATGAATTTCTCTCCATTCATTCCTGGCCAGAATCCATGAAACCCACTTATTTCTGAAAAAAATGTAGGCCACTTTGGTTGAATTGAAATACTCATGCTCATGTGATTATTTTCTCTTTTGGAATTTCCTCCAGTTCCAGAAACAATTACAACCGCAAAGCAAGCTGAATTCCTAGATATTTCATTTGAAAGAAAAACTTGTACTATTAACTCTAAAACCAAATTTAAGATATTGGCAAAATAATTCATCAACTCAAATACGCCTTTTCACAGCAAACAAGCTCATGCAATTCTCAAGAATACTGCAGAATGTCAAATCTCTGAAATTTTTTCCAGGACTTCTTTGGGAAAGTGGGGCAGGACTTTTTTAAAATTCGTCATTCAGTTTTTCACCCAGCAAAATATGATCTTTTATTTTTGAAAAAAAATTCATGAAAAGAACAAAAATTTTATAAATCTGCGCAGGTCATGGATGTAATGTTAGATTGACATCTGAACATACATCCAACAGCATCTCATCTCATCAGCCAAACCTAATAGCTATGAAAGTTTTTGTCACCATCTTACAATTCTTTCAAGATTGTGACAATTTCTACATTCTTCCAGATGTGTTTTAGTCCAAATAAATAATATACAGAAGTAAAAAGTACTTGAATTTACATTTAAAATCCATAAAAAATTAAACCACCACTTTTACTTGTCACACAAGGTGAAATGTGCTCTGAATTTGAATATTTTTTGAAACCAACCCAGTTTGATAGAAAATTGTGAAAAATCAAAGGAGGTATCAAAAAACTGGATAGTGGTTTCAAATGAATTACCCCTTGGGTTCATGGGATTTGTCCAAGGAAGTATATATACTGTATATAATATATATTGTCAAGGCATTAATGATTCAACCATTCACCAATCACAGTGGAATCCAGAAATTAACTACAACTATAATTATTTTAATTTTACCACAACTGAAATAAAAATGGGTTATGCATGTGCAGTAAATTTGAACACTGATTAAAGACTCCAGCAAAATCACAGGATAAAATTTTCAGAAATACCTCACTTTGCAAAAGGTGAGCACAACATAGATTGTCACAACTATAACCAACATTTATATTTCAAAGAATGGAAGCCAATCACATGGTTCACAATGTCACTGAACACTGTGCAATCACAAAATGTACCACAACTAAAATAATATGGGTTTTTCTAAATGCAGAAATTTAGAACACTGATGAAAGAATTGAGCAAAATCACATTATTCTACAGTTACTCTACTTCCAGAAACCCCTCATTCCAAAATAGGGCAGCTAAAATATAGGCATAAAAAACTAATCAAAATTTAATTCAAGATGTCAGGATGTCAATCATATGGTTGACAATTTCATCAACTACTGCTTTAGAAAAATTTACCACAATAAAAATGAAAAGGGTTTACATTCAGATGAAATAAATTAAACCACTGGTCAAAGAATCCAGCAAAATCATCCTATAAAACTTCCTGAAATCCCTCACAATGGGTTAGCAAAATTATAGATTCACAAAACTAATCAAAATTTTTTTTTCATTTCATGAGATCTGGATCATCCCAATAACATGGTTCACCATTTCATCATCACCAACATGGACTCTGATGGGAGTCCAACACTAAATTTAAATTCAAGAACCAGACACATATACATAGAAAGTGCACATAAATATATATAAAGAAAGTGGATGCAGCCAATAAATATTTTATAGATCAAGACACCCACTATCTCCACATCCGCTCTGGACCACAGTCCAGAGCAAACTGAAGCCACGCACCCTGTCCATCAGTGATGCCCATGGCAACGCATCAAAAAAAAGCCGCGCGCTTCCGTGACAAAAAATAAAACAGAAAGAAAAAGAAAATTCTTCTTCTATGCCACGCGCTCAGAACTGCATTTGGGGAAGTTTCTCCCCCCGCCACACACACACACACACACAGGACCAGATGCTCATCTTCTCTAAACGTCGCATAGATGGCGCAACGACTAGACAAGCAGCGTGAATAAGGTGTGCATGCTCAACGTACAGTATAATAAGATGCAGATCCGGGAAGGAGGGGGGATAGCACCACCAGGGGGCGCCACGGGTTGCAAGTGAAAGGCCCGCGGGCACGCCTTTGCGCGGGTTTACCCATTCACCCGGATAAATACGCTTCTCTCCATCTGTGTGAGAAGGTTATCTCCAACACTAGTAGTCTATGTTACCATCCTGTATGTGATGCAGTGTAAAAATTGATAGATGCTGCATCTCTGAAATATGTGTCCCCATCTCTTGCATTTTAGGAGCACATTAAAACGTGAATACATAGACAGCCAAGGTTTATGTTATGCTGATTCCCAAATTTTGGCACAGCTTATTTGAAGTCTTGCTTGCTGTGGCAAAACTGAACCATTACTATTTGTACCATCTAACATCCCTTTAGCACATAATGCCAAATTCATGACATTTTAATAAAAAATTATTCAATATTTAAGCGGGTCCAAGTGGTGTAATTTCTTCAGAATATAAATCCATTGGTTAATGCATCACCAGAGCACCTTCTTTTCCTATGCTCAGGATTCCACAGCTACAGAAATGAGCTTCAAAAATATTTGGCACTGTTGCAATTTGATGAAAAGTCTTTTGCCAAAATCTTACATGACCAAGATAAGCTTTGTACAATTTCTCCACAAGTCTATTTGATTTGAATATGTAAGGAGGGTGGATCTTGACAGTCAAGTTCCTGCAAACCTTTGTGGGTGTTAGGTCATGTATAAAATTTTATCTTGTTTCATGAGGGTGGATTTCTAAAAGTAATTAATTTCTTTTTTTGAAAGAAATTGTGGTGAAGTCAATTTAGATAATTTATTGAATGACATTCTTATACAGGGAAATTAAGTACCATATTATTGATGAATGAATGATATCATAAAAGGATTTATTCTTTTGTTTTTATTTCACTTTTAATCAAAGGTGGAAAAAGGTATATTGCTTTGGCAACATACATTCTCACATCACCAGTTTTCAATAATAAAAATTGACCAATCATGGTTCCCAGAAGGTGACCCAATGACCTGTTTGTGCCTCAATCAGAGAAAAATCCTCGGACATGTTGAGATGAATCAAAGCATCCTGTTTTGCAATCACCAACCCAGGGTCAGCCATTTTCTCTTTAATTCTTGAGAAGCATTAACACAGATAAAAAAAACCATCCAGCAAGACTCCAGAATTCTCTGAAGGTGATCCCAATAGTTTATAGCAAATGATTCAGAGGGAAATATTCAACAGTGAAGTTGGATATTGCAGTTGCAAAAACATCCTGTTTTCGCAATATGTCACATCCCTGAGTCATTTCAGTTGGTAACATTGGCCATAAATATCCCAAAACCATGATTAATGAGCTGGAAATCATACAGGCTCAACAAGAGATGCGCATATTGCCCACAAAAGCTGGAAAAATAGAGACAAAGCAGGAATTTATTCTTCCTCCTCTGCTGTGCTGTGCCCTGAACTCTGTAGCCACAAAAGGATGAGCACCAGGGCAAAAGGTCAAGACATTCCAAGAATGGGCTGCATTCTTAAGTAACACACAGGGGGAGCACCTGCCCAGAATATAGAGAGACAGGTCAAAGGTATTCCACCTCTCAAGTCCTCAACACTTTCAATTTATGAACTTTGAATAATGCAGGCAATTTTTGTGAAATATTTAAACTATAACTACAATGCAGTAATATATTTTTACAGTTTGAAAATTGAGGAAAAATGATTAGTTCCACAGTGCTGTATCTGAATCACCATGACTTATTGAAGCCTATAGTTAAATTTGTTAACAAGTTCTGCCTAATACAGAAACAAAAACATTTCTCTAAAAGCTCACCACAAAACCCATCAGTAGCAGCATATGGAGTCAAGATGCTGTGTCCTAGAAAAAGGAAAAAAGCACCTGCCAGCAGAAAGCATGCACTCTGGCCACCATTTATAAATTGCAATTTTTATCCATAGCTTTCTCAAAATGGCACCCAGATGTTCTGAACTCAAGTATTTCAATTCATCAACATTTTCAGAGACAAAAATCACAGGAATTCTCTTTATGAAAATATATTTTAGAATGCATCAAAATGAAGAGCAACCTGTTGGGCAAACACCTGACCACTGATCAGACAAATGCCCTCATTTTGCATCCCCAAGATGATTCTATAAATACAATATTCTTGCTTTTTTGGTGGAATGGTGCCCACTGTGGAGGAAAAGGTGCAGCCATGGGTCAATCTATCACTTGAAACAACTATGTGGGTGGCCCTGAACACAAAATGGGAGCATATTTACTGCATGAGGGTTGGCTTCACAAGTTCCATGTCTGAATTCTTCAGCAATGAAACAAAACATGTTGTGAACAAATTTCCTTTCATTCCACCCACCCAAGTCCAATATAGTAAAAGCATTGGTTTCCAGTGTCAAGAATGGGGATAAAGCAAGTGACATCTGTTCCTCAATGTGCAACCATGTGGTGGCTGGTGTAGGTTATGGGAGAGTAGTTGGTGGATGATGATATTCTTCTGACTCCAAATCTCAGAGGGTCTACTGCATTGATCTTCATGTTGGGCATGGTCCTCACCAACATGTACTTGAGAATGTCCATATCTGAGTCAAAGTCCTGCCATATAAACAAGTGATTATGAAGTGATATCTTTTTACAAGAAAAGTTTCACAAACAATTGTCCAGTCCCAGCAGAAATCCTATTGGGTACATGGTAAAAAAAACCTGTCAACAACAAACTCTCCAATTCCAGTATAACCAACTTGGGGGGGGGGGGGGGTGGCTGGAATAATGTTGTCAGGCCAACCCATGTCAGACTGGAATAATGTCATTGCAAATTAAACTTGTTGCAGAATATCATTGTCAGGAATAACCTTGCTTTCCTGTATTAATTTAGATGCTTGGATTTCAGAGATTTTTGGCTGTAAACAAGGTTGGTCCAGTTGTGAAGTGCAGGAGTATTTTTTTCACAATTATTTTCCAGGAGAAGGTTGATAATGATGAACTAGTATTGGAATGACAACATTATTCCACCATCCCTTTTTGGGGAATATGTTAAGGTTTTCCTAATGAAAATCTCCATGAAATTCTGTCAGTGAAATTTCCCTTTCAAAATGTGACCGACAATTCTTGATACATACGTAAGGGGAATCAACAACAAAAATTCTTCAAAATCCACCTGAACATCCTTTCTTCAAAAAAATGTTCAAGGTTAGGAAATATGAAGAGGGGACTGGATGAAAAAAATGAACCCATAAAAACCCACATTCAAGGGGTATTCGCATGCTTGAGAAACCCTTTAATGACAAGCTTTTACTGTATTTGAATGCCAATAAGGATGGCAACATGTGTAGTGCACCTACCTCAGGCAATACCTTCAGCTCACTCTTCAGTCTCTCATAAACCTGCCTGGAGGGTGTCAAGACAAGTGCACACAACTTCTGAGTCCCCAAGTGTGTGTACTTACTCCAAGACTCACAAAGCATAGTGGGCTTATCTATGTTGAACAAACTGTGCACCTTGCTGGCCATGTCCCTTGTCAACTCATACCATGGTGGAATGAAGACAATTTTCTGCAAAAATGTGAACTTCCACAAGAATGGCACTGCTTGTGCTAAAGAAGGGGCATGTTTGCTGAATGCTGAATTACTGGGGCCAACTTGGATCAATATGTCCGAGCTATTCTTCAGCAAAGCCCTTGAAAACAGTGATTGATTAAAGTCATGAGCAAGAAAGCATCACCATACAAAAAAGAACACAGACATCTCAACTGGATCCAGTTGGGGAAGCATGAGAATCACTACTCCACAGTCTGGACAAACATTTCTGAGAGCCACACACAACTTGGATGCTCTTGGCACTTCACTTGGAGAGGAAACAATTGTTGCAAAAGCCTGGGGGCCCACTGGAGGAAGTGGTTCAGACTTGGCAGAACTCCTTTGACCACTGTAGGACTCATCAAAATCCACTGCTTCTTTCCATTGAGTCTTTGGGCTGAGCATGTCAAACTTCACCCTGTAACTTAAAAATAGGGTCAATCAAAAAAATTCCAGTGACTGATTTCAGTGTGGCTACCTTGGGGCATGTTGGTAACGTTGCCAAGCATCTTCATAACTGCTGCCAGCATTTTTTGGACCCAAGTCCTTGGATTCCTTAATCCACAGGCCACCAGGTGATGAAAAGCTTACTTTCTTGGACCCAGAAATGACAGAATGGATCTTTGCTGGGGAATTCCTCAATGAGCACTTGGAAGCTTGTCCCCAACTGGGCAAATTATCAAAGGAAACAAAAACATCATCTTCTCCAGAGGATGAGTTCAGGGGTTTAAAGAACTCTGGTGGTGTTGACTTTGGAGAAGGTGTCATGGCTTTAAAGAATTGCAGTGGCTCTGTTGCAGACATGGACTTTCTTTCAGTTTGCATCTGCTTATTGTAATCCTCATCCAGGACTTCTTCAGCAATACCTAAAAGAATCAGAGTCAAATATAATTGTAATACATTATGATCAATTTTTAGCAGTACCTGAGCAAGCAGCTACACAACATTGTATCTGGCTCCTTCTGCTGGTTGACCCAGAACTTGAGGGAGACATCTGATGACCAAACAAATTCTGTTGAGAGATGTATGATGCTAAACAATTTCAAGAACATTACTGTTTTCAGTGTGGTGTGACATTTGGTGCACACATACATTCTCTGCACCACAGGAGCATCAGCTTGTGCACTGACAAGACCTGTCAATGACATATACAACCATTACAAGTGAAGATACTTGAAGGGAAATGACATGGTACAGTGGTTTTTCAAACTAAAAATACAATTTCTCAGAATAAGCTCAATTTCTACAGCCTTCTTGGATGAGGTCATGTATTTGACTTAGCTTTAATGAATGAATGAATGAACAGAACACTTTATTTGCCGCTTTTCAGCATTCTCAAGGTACAATAAAAACTGAAGGTGCTTTAAAAACTTAAAATTGTTTGTCAATATCAACTACTGTCCAATCATAGTCCATTGATATTTAAAGGCAACACAGATACACCAAGACATACCAGGGGTAACAGCAGTGTCATTTGGTGTGGGTAACCAATCAGGAAGTTCAGATAATCCAATGGCTGATGAGGTGATCAAACAGCCACTGCTAGTCTCCTCAATGTCAGTGACTCCATCCTCATCCTCTGGCCCAAACATTGATGAAGGACAGAGTCTGGATGAGTGGCAGAACTTGCCTGAGGCAGCCTGATTGGTGCCTACTGCAGTGGTAGACCCACAACTCTCCACACTCACAAGCTCATCCCTCGTGGCAGCAGTGGTTATGGCAGATAAGGCAATCATTTCAGGCTCTGCATCAAAGGCAGTCAACTGTGAAGGAGCCTTTGAAGATCCCAATTCAGTGACCTTGATGCTGATAGGTGAAGTTGGAGTGGACACAGGACTGCACTGGATGCTTTTGCTCACCAGTGCCTCTAGTGGCTCAGTGGAGACTGATGCTGTAGTAACTGTACAGGGGTCTAGTGTCTGAGTCAGCTTATCCTCAAAGGTTATGTCATGACCACATGTCTCTGTGCTAGCAGAACTGGAACAGTTGATCAGAAAAAAATTGAAGCTTTTATGAAGGATTTCATGTTCTACAAATCACAATATTCCCTCATGCCCATCCCTTTGAAAGATAATAAAAGTGGTACCACGTTATTTGACCCTTATCTGTTAAGGGACTATACATGGTCTAACAACAAAATAGTCAAATTGTGAGACACTCCATAAAAACAAGTAAAAGCAGCACGAAAACACTAGAAGTGACTGAAGAAGGTTGAATTGCAGGGCAGAGGTCAAATTGAAAGTCAGTCTTCCAGCAAATTCCACCATGAAAAGATTACAGGGTGAATGAATTGTGGGAGGTCAAATTGCAAGGTACAGTGTGTCTTAGTTGGACACCTATTAAGTTGATAAATTCTTGTGGGCCAAATTAAAGTTGCACTATATAAGCTTTAGAATCAATCAAAATTAGCAAAAAACCTTATTTCATGATGAACCCTCAGCATGTCCTTGTCATCTTCAACCTCCACACTCATAGCATGCATTACAGGCAAGCCACTAGTGGTACTGGGGATGGACACAACACTGTTAGACCTTCTCTTATTAACCTTCCTCCCCATTAACTTGGTCTTGGGCAGGAGCTGCATCATTTGTACACTTTCCACGGCAGCCATAGTCAATGCAGCACCAAGGAGGCCATATCCAAGAGCCTTTAATCCCACTGGTGCAACCTGCACAGAGACCTGAGTAGCAACTTGCTTTGCATCCTCCCATTGTGTCCCAGCCACTGGCAAGAGATTAACGGGAGGATGAGTTTGGCGCCAGCCAAACTCATCCTCCGATTCTAATAAATTTCGCGACAATGCCCATCCCTTTGAAAGATAATAAAAGTGGTACCACATTATTTGACCCTTATCTGTTAAGGGACTATACATGGTCTAACAACAAAATAGTCAAATTGTGAGACACTCCATAAAATCAAGTAAAAGCAGCACCAAAACACTAGAAGTGACTGAAGAAGGTTGAATTGCAGGGCAGAGGTCAAATTGAAAGTCAGTCTTCCAGCAAATTCCACCATGAAAAGAATACAGTGTGTATGAATTGTGGGAGGTCAAATTGCAAGGTAATGTGTCTCAGTCTCAAACCTAAGATTAATAAATTTTTGTGGGCCAAATAAAAGTTGCTCCAACCAAGCTTTAGAATAAAAATTAACAAAAAAACCTTATTTCATGATGAACCCTCAGCATGTCCTTGTCATCTTCAGCCTCCACACTCATAGCATGCATTACAGGCAAGCCACTAGTGGTACTGGGGATGGACATAACACTGTTACACCTTCTCTTATTAACCTTCCTCCCCATTAACTTTGTCTTGGGCAGGAGCTGCATCATTTGTACACTTTCCACTCGTCGGTATCAGTTACGTCGTGGTTCCTCCGGTATAGGTTCTCGGAAATTAGGGTGACCACGTTGGACGTGTCTCTGGACTCATCGTTGAACGAAACGTAGGAGGGTAACACAGGGTCGGTGACCGTTCTCTCCCACAACTTTAAAACATGAAAAAACCCATTGGCTCTTCCAGCTTGAAGAAAATGTGCAATTTCGGAAGTAGAAGAAGTAAACAACAATTAAGAGAAGTATGTACTAGAACCAGTTGCAAATACTCACCAGTGGGAAAGACTGGGTTTATCCTACTCATTGGTGATGTTCTCCTGCGTTCATAGTAACCAGTAACCCTGAGTAAAGCCTGATTAAAGTATAAGTAAGTCTGACCTGCTTATGTTAGACAGATGGCCTCCCCAGAAAACCACCTGAAAGCTTTGTTTCACCAGTCTCATCACCCACCATTAGTCTCACCTTTATTAACCTCTTATTCAATTGGTTACAATTGTTTGGTACAGGACCTAAGTTCTAGTACCTATCTCAAGTCTCTTTGAACTTCGGTGAAAACTCCCAAGGACCCCGACCACCAAGACGACCCCAGAGTCGGTACCGTTGACTAAAGTTGGACTCCTTGTCCAACCAACTCTCCCCTGCCTATTCTTCTCCAAGAAGTGAGAAGAATAAACAGTCAATTCAAATCAGGAATCTAAGGTCTCAGCAAGTGGAAAACCTTGGGGATGTAGTGGCTGCTTTGGGGAGGTTGCAAGTAAGCACATATTTCATGCATTACTTTATTCTAAGTAGTAGCTAAGCATATGTCCCCATTTTGTTTTTACATGTGAAAAAACTAGATTTCTTCTACAGTAAATTTAGGATGCACATTGCATTCCAAATTAAAGTTTAAAAATGGTGTTGAAAAATCTATACACAAAGCTGACTCCAGTGACCTCTGATGGTCAAACCAAAAGGCACAAGCATGCAAAAATATCCTGGCACCACCATGGGATGGAATTTGACTTGCCACTTGTCCAGGGGTTAAAAGTGACAGAAGTATTTTTGAATGATCTTCGCCATTTAATATATGTACAGTGAGACCCCCACATATGGATGCCTTGACATGGGGATGATTCAACATGGGGACATTTATTTAACAAAAAATCATGAGGCCCAACATGAGGACACTGACTCAACCTGGGGACATTGGAGGATAAAATACCAAAATAAATTTTAGGAAAATTGATTTTTATAAGATTTAATTACAAGATACAGATGTTTTCAAGGTATAATCTAAGGAAAAAAATATTTGGTACTTTTCCCATCATTTTCCCATCCATTCAGCTAATTTTAAAAATGCCCTATAGCACAGAGGGACTTCCTTCTAGCTCTCTTTGTGACACGGATGTTATTTTTCCAGATGCCAACTTTTCAATGTACTGTACAGAGGTACACTATTCAATGTTCCAAATGTTCTTATTGGTTTGAAAATATATTCATTGCATCAAATTCAAGTGGCAACAATTTTTTCATGAAATTTTGAAGAATATTTCTTCCATAAAACACCAATTACAAGTTATATAATGTAAGTCTATGGGAAAACAAGATCCGACTTGGGGAAAATCCAACTTGGGGACACTCTTGATACACCAATTATGCCTGCATCTGGGGGTCTCACTGTACAGTTGCAGGTGGCAAACCTAGAGGCCAGACTAGCCACCAGTCATCAAACAGAGACCATTGGCACCAACATCACCCCTCCGTGGTTCCACTCCCTGTCCTTGCAACCCAAAGACAGGCTCCTGGTCATGGGCAAGTTCCCGCCCAGCGGCAGGATGACCATGAATCTCTGCGGTGCCAACAGCATCCCCTTCAGCTTCGACGTTCGCTTCCCAGCATCCTCCTCCTCCTCCTACACCGGCAGTGCGGCTCGGCGAGCCGAGTCCAACGAAGTCCTCGTCACCTCCAACACCGACTCGCGCATTCAAGAGGACAACGTTGCCATCGTGGATCCGGTTATTTTGAAACGATCTCCGTTACGACCTTCCCAGGAATTCGTGTTGGAATTCCGGTGCCATTTCGACAGCTTCGTGGTTTTCGCTGATGGGCGATTCCTGTTGGATTATTCGTACCGCGTGCCTTTGGCTGATGTGCAATCCGTTTATGTTCTCGGGAATCCGGGAGTGGTTCATTCCATTGAGAAAACGCGACTCTGAAGCACTCTATAGCGACATCTATACTCATTTGACATGAATAAAGTCAGCAGGGCATGAAGCCCCATCCACGACGGGAGAAGAAGTGGGAATGATACGCAGCGCGACATCTAGTTGAAATTAAATGCGATCTGATAAGGAGTTTACATGTCTTGGTCAGTAGGAGTAGGAGAGTTAAAGGTTTCAAATGCTCATGACCAAATTAAACACCACATAAAGTTTTTGTTCCAACACCTTTGAGAATGACTTAAACTATCTATTGGAAGCTTCTGATTATGGAAATGGGTTTCCAGCATTTCAATGTATTCATGATTATTCACAGTTGTAATCAAATGACTCAAACATCAATCAGGAGGAATATGTACATAAAAAAAAGTACAGCACCATCAAGGGATCCACCATGATTTCAGAATTTAGTTCTAGTTTTCATAAAAAAGTCTTCAGTTGTTTTTTGGAATGTCAGATTGTCTGCAAATTCCCAGGACATGATAAATTTTGTAACACATCTGATTTATTTATTTATTTATAATTTTCAAAAATTTAGTGAGATCCCTAGATGAGGACACCTTGACATGCAGAGAATTGGACTTAAGGACACCTTTTTCCCATAAAAAATTAATAAAAGAGGCCCTACATGAGGACACTGACTCAACACAGAGACATTTTATGATGAAATTGCAGAGAAGTTTCAGGCCAAATCACGAAAAACAGATATATCCAACCATGAAATTGATGTAAGAAAAGTTCTTGAGCATTTCTCTCACCAATTTACCATTCATTTAGCTAATTTAAACAAATTACCTCCAGCATAGAGGAACGTCCTTCTCTCTTTGTCACATAAATGTTATTTTTACAGAGAATGCCAACATTTCTATCTGTTGGAAAAAACTTAGGCATGCCAACAAGTCAGCGCCAGATTAAGTTAAATTACCCTTCAACTACTTAAAAATCTTGAGAAAAATTAGCAGCTTCTGCTGGAGCCTGAGAACCAAACAACCAAACCTGAGTTTGGTTCCCAGGCCAAGCAAGGACATTTTCTGAATAGAATTCTAATCTGCATCCTTCAACTCTTCCTTTCCTGATTTCCAAATTTTGGATGATTTTGACACTTGCATTTGAATTGCAGACCCAAGCAGATCTCTGTGCAGAGAAGCTTCATTTGCGCAACTCCAAAATCTTGACCAAGTGTTAATCATTGAAAATACAACTCTTTAAAACTAGGACTGTAGTCCCGGCCACAGCCCAGCTGATCTATCAAGTTTTCATATTCCAATCAATTTTCCTTATCCAAAGGGTTTCATTTTCATATTATCTTGCTTCAAACTATTCTTTTCCAATCAAGTCTTCCATTCCTTACTCAATCAGCCTTGTGAGATACTTTTGTCACTTCAACATTTTTTTCTCACACTATCTAGTGTACATAGGATCAGTATTCAATTCCCGAAATTTCCATATTGTGTGGAACTTGAAATATATTGATTGAATCAGTTTCAATTGGGAGACCATTTTTATTTTTATGGAATTATGGTGAGATTTCTGTCCATAAAACACAAATTAAAAATTGTATAATGTAAGTCAGAGTGAAAATGCGACTTGACTTGGGGACATTTCAACTTGGGAACACTTCTGATGCACCTTTTGCATCCGCATCTTGGTCTCACTGCTTCTGCACAAATTTCAACTTGATTAAAAATTGAGAAATGTACAGGAAATGCTAAATACAGCATTACCTTTTCAAGCAGCAAATGAATCAAGAATCCAACAAAGGTTGTATAGAAGAGTGGCACAAGCTGAGTAATTTGACACAGTATTCTAAAATTTCCTTATACTGTATACTAAAAACTCCTGGGGACTTCAGAAAATGTTTATTTTATTAAATGATTTGCCAGTCCTTAACGATTTCTAACAAATGTTCTGCAGTATTTACTGTTTATATTTCTCCTGGGACTTCAGAGAAAGTTTGTTATACTGAATTCCATGCAACAAAATATTCTGTACTCATGCCATGGAATGGGATGCGCAGCGACATCTAGAAACATGCAGTTGCGATCTCGATATGATGTCTTCAATTCTGATTACAGGTGCTACTGTCTGTTCGTCTCTTCGCGGTACAGCATATACGCAGAGGAATCGGAAATTGCGTTGAAACAACACAGAAGAGAAGCAGCACATATATAAATGTATTTTTTTTGTTGCAACGTTGCGTGATGAATCTCATTCCCACTTCCTGGCCATGGAATCGCGTGACATCACGGCAGAAAATTTTTTCCTGCATTTCCCCCCTCTGCTGTATCGTCCTTAAAACCCCGGAATCTCTTCCATATACTGTATATACTGTATATGCGCGGTCTCTCATAACCCATGTGAACGGATCCGTAGAAATCAAAAGCTTAAATACTTTTCATTTTTCCTTCCGAATTTCGTTACAAAAAAATAATCGAGTTCATCCGTGAGTATTTTCTGAACGTGAAGGGAAGGGAACATGCGGATGAGTGAGACAGAGTCAGTTCCTGAGTTGAGTCCAGGGTTCGTGATGAAAGTCATTGGGACTGTGGGATATATATATGTATTTTATACATATATATATATATATAAACGGATAAATGTGTGTGTGTGTGTGTGTGTGTCCTTGTGCTGGGTTGGCTGCAGCACTGAACAATGTCTGTCATGGTTGTGCATGGGTGTCATGCAAGGCATTTTATACAGAGTAGGCCAGGAAAAAAAACAGAAAAT